GAAAAAGTGGAGAGTGGATGATACACATAAACGAAATAAATTAGGTTGATGAACTTTGGTAGAGCTTTGATACTTAAGATAATCTTTGATCAAAAACGACATTTTAAAGTTACCAACCTAATATTTGCAAAATCGGCAAAGTGGCCCTTTTCCTAAAAATGAAAATAAAAAGTTGCGGTGTTTTCGAGACGGAAGTTTGTGTTGACACTTAAAATCATATTTATGTGGAGCACATTTTTCTTCCATGGGCTTCCCCTGAAAATCCCACTATGCGAACTTTCAAGAACTTTTCAAGTGGATTTATATTTGTACAAAGCAGTTTATATTTTCATTAAGACCACGTTCAAAATAACTTTGGAACCTTTCGAGCGAAAGCACGTAAAATTTGCCTTCACAGCCATAACACGTTATTTTGGTAGAACTTCCATTACTGCAACTCCTATAGGTTCAACACATTGAACACTAATGGAAATATTCCGTCCCATTCAAATTTTGCGTTCTACATTTACAGCTCAAAATCCACAGTTATGCGGTGACGCGACGGAAATTTCGCCGGCAAGAATTTACAGAAGGCATTTACCCGACAAGAAATTGACACTCATTTTCATATTAGATCCGCCAACAGCGACTGTGGAGCCATTTGTTGAAGGCCACTGCATGACGAAGATTCCTAATTGCAATGAGTCCATTAGCACATTTCTTACCAGTGTGCCAGCTCAAGCAAACAAAAAAGTCCGAGTTTCCCAATGTCGTCGACAGCTTTTTCAGGAAAACACTGATTGATCGTTGGCCGGCTCTTCCCGGCACAGAAACAACTATGTTCGATACGTGGAAGTTATCAGAGGATGTAACAGTAGAATTTTGACCGAATGGGCGTGTATTGGTAATGAGGAGGCAGAGTTTATTATTTACTCTAACTACGCTAGGCGTCGAAACCATTTTTGCCTCGATTGTTTCAATAAAAACATATGCCGCCACCCCCAGTTCTGTATTTAGCTCCAGTATTGCTTTAATATAACATTTAATTCATTCTTTGTTGCACAAAGAATAGCTCCAGCCCGGTCCTCTTGTTTGCACTATAAAGCAATCCTCAACTCTGGTGGGGTTCCTGTGCGTGAGAAACATTCCTTTGTTACACCTATACTTGAAAAGACCTTCATAGAACTCTGAGATTCATCGGACTATGAGTATCAAATCGCTGTTCTAAAGGTTATTTGAAAACTGCAGTCTGCATAACAACCTCGTGGAGAGCTTACAGAAGATATCAGCCATCAATATACCATGCCGAGGTTCTTGCAAAGCCGTACATTTCGTTATTTGAGAAGTTTTGAGAAAATAACACCCAACACTTGTCGATCAACCACGCTATTTCCTACTTCGGGAGCGCAAGACTGGTTTTCCTCAGATCCCTCTAATGAGTCTGATCTGACTGGATATCTCAATGATGGAACGAAACTCGTGATAATAAGTTCTGTGAAGATGTCATTATGAATTTGCAAAAGCACATCGATAATCTCACATGTAACACTTATTCTTTTACCTAGAGGCGCTCAATTTCATCGGTGCTCATCAAGTGGATTGCAAGCTGTCTCAACAACTACATTAAGTAGGTCACATAGCCGCAACTCAGAAGTACCTGATTTGCATGGTGTTCTGCCCATTTCCAACGACGCCACAGTGCACTGCGCCTCGAACCGCGTTTTAGCATTTCGTAGAGGGCTTCCCGAAGTGTCAGTTGACGATCATGCAAACCCCACATACCTGAGTAATTATATTACGGTAACTTCAGAGTGGTAGTGAGCGATTAACCTGTAGTTATGAGTAGTAAGTTTTTGAAATTCAAGGCTTGATCCTTTACCTAATGACGCCGCATGTAGGAGGCAGTTACCATCACCAGTAGTTGAAAGAGGATAAAGCTTCTGACCATACTGATGCCACCAGTTAAGGTGTTCTAAAACATTAGCATATAATGACATTCCCAAAAAAAACATTAAAAACCCTTTTACATACGAAAGATCGGCCGCATTCACCTATTACTGCCTCACTCGCCAGTAGACGCCAGCACACCTTGGATTACTAAATTCGCCGAAAACTTATTGACAGGGGTATTTCGACCCTGAGAACACGAATACCACATTAGTTCATAACGAGCGAGCATGTAGCGTGCGCTACGGGCTCCTGCGCAAAATCAATGAGATAGCGCCAGCGCCTGTGGCGTGGGCGCCAAACTAATGTGATATCGGGCTCTACGTGCATGGAACCCCCGGAAACCTTTCAAGCAAAGCCGTCAGTCAGGGACAAACCCCGATCAAAATCCGGCTAAGTTTCTGAGGAAAGGAGACAGTAAAGGGGAAGTATTGCCTAAATATCGGAGAAAAACTCACTCGACGCCTCTAATCTTTTCTGTGTTGGCGTTTCGATGAGGTCCTTTTCGAGGAAATTCCGAAAGTCGGGCGCCAACCTCTCCAGATCCGGCAGACAGAACGCATACCCAGGCGTTGGCAGCTTTCGTGAGGCACACTCACCGAGCCCTGACACTTTATCTGAAATACATTACATGAGCTGTTTTCAACTCGCCACTTTCTAGAGCCCTGCATTCACAACGTTCCTCCCTCATTTAGACGCATGGCAACAGCAGAATTCAGATGAGAGGTCGGGGGTATTCACCGAGATGCTCATCTCCTTGAAAAAATTCCTTGAATTCCTTTCAAACGATTGTCGCACTATGGCAAGTTTTCTTTCAAGGCTTAGTGTTGTTTAGTTACCAATGCAATCAAAGTGCCCACCTTGTTGATTCCGAGTTTGTCTCCACTAAATGGTGTCTAATCGTTACTACGAATTGCGCAGTGTGTCCCCGAGGGGGGGGGGGACAGGCTGTCGGGAGGTCACTAGGATTAGGTCTAAAGTAGAGGGACGAATTTCGGAGCGAACGAGAACTGCTTACACAGATCGATTTCCGTCTTCTCCTATGCAGCTCAGATTCCCTCTAAGCCCTAAAGCTTAGTCCCAAACTTGGAAGTTTCCGTGAATGTACGCAATGTTACGAGCTGCTTCCCCTCCAGCGCTTCCGAATTTTACCTTCGTATTATTAGGTGTAACGTTTAAGCCACTTATTCCGCAATGAATTTACATTCCAGAATTTTCACACATGGCGCACGTGGTTGAAACCTGATAGGAATTTGGCTTTGCACCTTTTCGTCTTGACACCTATCATTCGTACTGCTTTCCAGAACAACAGTGACAGCCATCAATAACATGAAGACCCGTTTACACACCACACACATGATTTGATTGGGTGTAGAAATAGATTTTATTTATTTGTTTATTTATTTGTAACGCTGCATAAGGCAGTCGTGAGAAACGTACCAAGAACAATATCAAATTGATGCTGTACACTTCTACTAACCATAGCTCAACAATTCCTTCTTCATGATTCGTTTGAAAAGTAAAAAAGCAGAGAAGACAGGAGTCACTTTTGATTTCAGATTAATGAATATAGATCCAGCTCGGCACTTAAAGCTGTATCGCTTTAAGTTGGTTCCTGGCGTTGCATATGAAATCTTCTCCGATCCACCTCTAGTTTTTGATTTGACACTTTCATAAAATTTGGATGCATCAACTCTGGCAATACCTGACAATATTTTGAATACCCTGCAAACATCGTAAACTTTTCTGCGGGAATTTGAGCTGTATAATTTAAAACATCGATTTCTGCGAGTAGGATCAGGTAAATTGGAATAGGAGGCCATCCTGGACTCAACGACTAATTTCCTCGTGAAATTATCTTGAATTATCTCAAGTAACTAGACATATTTTTTCTTATGAGGGCAGAACACTGATGTTCCACACTCTACGATAGGTCTAACATACGTTTTATAAGCCTTAAGTAAAACATCTTCATCTTTGTCGACAATCCCTTGAAAATCTGATATGTACGAAATGTGGCCTTTTTGAATAGCGCTTGGAAGTGATCAGAAAAGTTTGTCTTGTTATCATAATGAAAGCCGAGGTCCTTAACAGAGGGAACTTATCAAGAACATTTTTGCCCAGGCAATAGGTGCTTCACAGATTAGAAGCACCAATCCTCATATAAACGGTTTGTCGGGAGCTAGGGGTAAGTTCCATTCGTGTGACCAGTTAAAGATAAGATCTAACGCCTTTGAATGACCCTTGTAATCAACTATGCTTTCCACTTTCCTATTATACTTTGACATCGTCTGCATATTGCTTGCAAATAACACCACAGTCCTCCAAAAGACCAGGGAGATCTGCAGTATATACAGTGAAGAGGGTGGGAGCTACGACGCCACCTTGAGGAACACCACTTCTAACATCTCTAACCGTCGGAAAGGTTGAACCGATTCTAACCTGGAAAGTTCTACCAGACCAGAATTCTTTTATCCATTGACGAATTAATGGACGAGATTTGAGCCGATCCAACTTGAACAGAAATTCTCATGTTCTTACCTCTGATCCTGTCGAACAGCTTAAAGAGAAATCAAAAAAAACAACGTTCACAAAGAAATTTTTTTGGCAACAAGGTAATCAGTCCAATCGTTAATCACACTCCAAATAGGATTTGTTTCAACGCTCGACCCAGGAATAAAACCAAAGTTGGTGGTTTGCTGGCGTAATCATTCCAATCCTATAAAGATGACACCAACTAAATTCTTTTTTTGGAATTTTATTCAGAACATACGAGAAAAGAGAGTCATAGTGTGGAATGGTGGACGGGTCTCACGTAATCATAGCATATACTACAACATGGGCCGCTCACACCGCGTGTCAGAACACATCACCGCTATTGCTCTATAGCGGAGCCCCGCAAGAATGCGTGGCGTCGAAATAAGTATCCGACAGGAGACGAAAGACTTTCGATTTCCAGGTGACTAAACGAACATCGCATAAACCTGGGCCAAAAGTGCGGTTAAGATGTGCATGGAAGGTCAGTCGAATTAAGGGATGAAATATTCGGCAATGACTCGCGTTGGGAGAAAAGCCTACAGAGCAGAAACAATTTGTGTACAGGGACAGTGTCTAGCGGTGTTTCCTGCATACATGACGTGGGCGGACGGCCCGCCCTTAGAATGGGCGGGCGCGATCTGGTCGCACAGCAAATTTTCTATCAAGCCCTCATAATTCGTGTCGGAATCCTAACGAGCCGGGAAACGGTGGATAGAGTGTTATGGAGCAGTGGAGGCCAGCTGTCAATGGTGGGAAGCGGGGCTTGCAAAAGTGGCGGAGTTTGGGCGACGAAAATTCATATCACTCGCAAAAAGGCCCGGAGGCAGGGATAAAGGTGGATGGAGGTGGGTGGAGGAGTGGAGGCCAACTCTCATCGGTGGGCAGAGCATGGCCAAAGTGGGCGGAGTTCGCGACGGAAATTCATGGCTTGGCTCCAAGAAGTCCTGGAGGCACGGAAAAAGGTGGGTAGAGGTGGGTGATGGAGTGGGACTTAAATACCATTAGTGGACAGAGCATGGCCAAAGTGGGCGGAGTTAGCCAGGAAAATTCATAATTTGGTTCCAAGAAGTCCTGGAGAACGGGGAAAAAGTGGATATAGGTCAGCAAAAGAAGAGAAGTTACCTGCTACGGTTGGGTGGTGCGTGCGCTAATATAGGCGGAGTTTGCGCCGAAGTTGTAATTCGGCTCCAAGAAGTCCCGGAGGCAGGGAGAAAGGTGGATGGAGGTGGGTGGAGGAGTGGAGCCCAGCTATCACCGGTGTGCGGGGCTTGACCAAAGTGGGCGGGGTTTACGACGAAAATTCATAACTCGGCTGCAAGAAGTCCTAGAGATAGGGAAAACGGGGTTAGAGGTGGGCGAGAGAAAAGAGATCAGCAGCTTCCAAGAATTCCCAGAAACCGGTGAAAAAGGGGTAGAGGTCGGGGAAAGGAAGGGGGCCAAATGCTATTGGTGGGCGGAAATTTAGCTGAAAATGAAATTGAAATGAAATTTAGAATTTAGCTGAAAATTCAGATATTCGTGGTGCATCAAGCCAAATTTGAAAATTTTCGTCGCACCATCAAAATTCGCCGCAGATCTGTGTTGCGCGCGCAATGCGTGCGGCGCCAACTGGTTGTTATTAATACACTAGAATAAGTGTCAAAAATTGCAAGAGCAATGTTCTCATGATACTCAGAAATAAGTCACATCCTTCCTGTAAAATACAGACCGTGATAAAGAAGTACAAACAACTTTCGCACGAAGCCCTCTTCTTCTCAAACAATGAGGTCAGTCCTAAATCAGAAATCAACCCTAAAACTGACCTTTCCCGTGGAACTAACACAGTTTTATGGAAGAAAAAGGTATCTGGACAAGCGAAATAGACTTCGATGTCCGCTTGATTAATATGGCTAGTGAGGATTATTAAATGGATTAATCAGCTACTTAATCGCTCCAATCGAGAAAGTCAATTATTGCCGCACCCATCGAAAAACTGCCATGTTACGACGCCAAATAAGTAACCGCGCGCGATGGCGCCACTACGGGCGATTCTGTTGACCGCTCCCCGGACGTGACAAGACTCCGCGGGTTCTGCAGTAGAATTCGACAAGCTAAAATGTGCGTAGACCGTGGATAAACTCCGCATGGTTCTGCTTTCTGAAAAACCAAAAAGATTTCATCGCAAGGAGATGAGAGGACCTTCATGGAAATGTCATTATTATAATTAAAGAGAATAAGAATCACTGGAATGAAGAATTTTCGTTGAGATAGTTATTTAGTGTCAACAATATGTATTTTGTTTATCAAAGCGCTCATGTCCTTAGGGGGAAATTTCGGTGAAAACAGAGCCGCTGGTGGGTGACACGAGGACAAAGTCCAGGGGGGAGGAGAAACACCAAGGAGAAACACAAAGGAACGTTCCCCCTCCCAACGACATGAGAGCCCTGATCGCCAAAACAGCACTGCTGGTCCCTCCTTACCTTTTCCTACTGTAGTTTATTTATACTCACTGTTGTCTTCAAAATTCCATACACAGGATCGTAATTCGAAGCAGAACCTTCCGGATCCTATCCGCAATCTGCTCACTCTTCGACATGTTGAATTAACGCGAATCGTTCGGACCGCCGCGCAGCTTGCAGCGCAATTTGCCACATGCCAGCACGGACGAGCAAAAAGTCCGTCGCCCGAAGGAAGCTGCTCTCTCATGAAGCTAGGAAATTTTTACGACCTCACTAGCGGCTCGCTTCTTGGAAGAACTGGAAAAAGAAATCGAGTCTGTGCGTGACCCTTGATGACTTCGAAACTTTGCCGCAAGTTGTAAAGAACCTTAAAAGAATTGATGGTTTGTAGGAAACCTTCATAATAAAATATGCTATTTGGCGGGAATCTGTTTCCAAGAACCAAAACACAAGCATTTAATCATTTCCACCAAAAAACGTATCGTAGGATACTAAATCAGTGTCACGAATAATAAAAAAACCAAGGGACTTGAAGGCGGTGCCAATGTATGGCCGATGTCATAGTTTGCGAATCGAGCGATTCGCTAGCAAATCGCTGGATCCGAGCGTTGCGCCAGCGAATCGAACGTTGCACCAGCGAATCGAACTTTACGCTAGCGAGTCGAACGATGTACCAGCGAGTCGAACGATGTACCAGCGACTCAATAATGGCGGAACCCAACGTTTGAAGAAAGCCCGCCACTTTCAAACAGTGTCACGTGACAGTGGACGCTATTTGAAAGTGGCGGGATTTTGCAGTGGACACTGTTTGAAAGTGGCGGGCTTCCTTTCGTTGGGTCCCGCCACTATTAGTCGCTGGTACCTAGTTCGACTCGCTGGTACATCGTTCGACTCGCTAGCGTAAAGTTCGATTCGCTGGTGCAACGTTCGATTCGCTGGCGCAACGCTCGGATCCAGCGATTTGCTAGCGAATCGCTCGATTCGCAAACTATGACATCGGCCTATTGCCGGAATTCTCATTCAGTAACCTTACTAGAGTACTTTTCAATGACATTTTGTACCACTGAACTCGCGCAAGCTACCTCTTCCCAGATGTCATTCTCTCCTCCTGTTTGGGCGATACCTCTGCTCTCACCTGCGTCAATACTCTGATCGATAGTGAACTCTAAAGCTGACAAATTGAGCGCTAAGGGTTTGCTTGTGTCTATGACAATAGTATACTTGGTGACAATCACAGTGCTATATCCACAAGTATTCTCGCCCCATTGCTATATTCCTGAAAAATCGCGCGCGCGGAAAATTTTCTGAAGAGGCGAGCATCTTGGTGAATAATTCCTATCAGATAAAAAGCGCCTGTTTAGCGTACTTTCTCAGAATATCGAGGTAACCGACCCTATCAAACAGCTTCGGAATCGCGCTTTTATTTGAGCGACACAATTTTGAAAAAAAAATATCAAAACTTTCATTAAGTACCAATGAAGAGAGGCTAAATAAATGAATGCAAAATCTTTACCTGCTTCACTCAACTTAGAATCATAAACTGACTAGAGATAGAAAAGAACAGGAGCCCTTCAGTCCTACGTATATACGGCTTATTCAAAGCAATTAAAAATGATTGAAAGGATAATAAAAACCACACTAACCATGCGATGTCGATGGAGTCATCGACTCCATCTCCTCTCGTGCGCCTTCCAGCTCGAAATTTTTCAATGCCACTGCCAAATCCCAATCCCATTCTGAAATCAAAATATCTCCTTCTCCGTTAATCACCAGCACACAAAAGAACCTCTCGAAACTCCTTTGAGTCTCATGATATCAGCAGCAGCAGCTGCTGCTGCTGCAGTAGTAATGAAACCCACTCGTTTCCGCTATAGCCCATTAGACAATGAGGGGCACATACATCACCAAACCATAATGAGCCGAGCAAATAAATTGCAGCAGGACTCAGAGGACGACAAGATGGGCAGCGCTTTTAAATCTCCAGTCGTGGATAAGTCACTAAACCTTTATTTTGACGACCACACAAACACAACCACAACCTTTATAACCGTTATCCTCCCAAAGACAGATCCCTACTCGGATCACCCATTAGGAAACAACATGGCCTCACGATCGATGGTTCGGAGAAATTACCATTCTGTATACCCTACATAAGTAATGCTACGATCCCTGCCATCAAGGCGGCTCTGCACAAGTGTGGCCTAGAGGACCGATCATACGGGTGGTCGAAGTCCCCCCCCCCCAGCAAACCTCAAGCAGCGGTTGGTTCAAAACAGCGGGTACGACCGAGCCTGTCTGACTCCCAATTGCGTGATCTGTCCTAATGGACGGGTGGATGATTGCATGACGTCAGGTGTGATCTACCTGATCTCATGCGCTCATGCGGGAACGAATATATCGGAGACTGTGCGGCCCCTATGCGCGAGGATTAAGGAAGACCTAGATGGCTTGAAACGAGCTAGGCTGAAGAGCCCCCTGGGTGCTCACCGCGTGCAGACCCATGAAGGTGCACCATTTGAAGTCACGGTGAGGATTCTGCTGCGGGACCCCTCACGTCGGCGCGCAGGACACCTGAGGCGTTCTTCAGCGCTGGGTCCCCTGAAATGTATAGGAAAGACGAGTGCCTAGCTATAACACTAATGAACTCGCGCCATTTTCTGACCTCTGCGGGCTACGTTTACGTCCGGCTTCATGCCGAGGGGCCAGGTCATCTAAAGCCACCCTCCCCCCCCCCCCAAGTGGTGGTCCACATCAAGTTCGGTCATCTGTTAAGGTGGGTTCAAGTGTTCTGTGTTTGCGATGCCTTCCTGGAGCCACTGGGTCTAGGGGACGGTTCTTGAAGTTTGAAATGGTGTTTGAGGATGAGTCGCACTGACCCTTGACTTTCCAGGCTCTGACGAAGGCGACAAAGCCGAAACGTAAGCCTGATAAAGGGTTATTTACATCTTGGTTTCAATAAACCTCATCGAAATAAAAACATCAGTCGTCAAGAAAGACACTGCACAGCACATTCTGTGCTGATTTGGTCTGTGCAACGTCTTTCTGACGCGATGACTGTGTTCCATGTACGGAAGTATAGGGAGTTCAAATGCATCATTCGTGGCTGACGCCAACGAAGCAACTCCATCACCCGACTAAATCTCTTTGCATGAGCGTTGACCAATCAGACCGCGTGCAAACACCCGAAGCGTCTCCTACACTGCTGCCCGTTATGTTCCCGAACAACGCCACAATCTCATTGCGGAGAGATCTGTTCAAAGATAATAATGGAATCTACACCTGAGGCACTGTCGGAACAGAACGCTTTATCAGCGCCGCAGCATCATCACTTAAACATACCACAGCGACCTTTCTCTTAGTCGATGCATCGCTCGAACCTGCTTGTTCATAGCCACCTCCTCAAACAAATGTTAACTCTCTGAAAAGGCGCATTCGCCCAGCGGACACCCCGAAAAAAATTTACCCCAATTTTGACTCAGATAACCAGTTACTAGCACTTTTGCTTGTGAGAAAGACCAATGACAGGAAGGTAGACCAATGGCATGTAGGGGAGAAGTGTTTTATTTTCATAGTTGTCGTTGAGAAAACATAAATCATAGCCCGTATTCGAACGATTTTCGACACCGGCTTAACTGAAAAGCAAATGATGGAGAAGCGTTCGCTAGCCAAAATTCTTAAAATTTTCCAAGCTCTTAGGCATAAAAATTTGTGTTATATTTCTGTGGTAGTTGCTCGATTTCTATGCCGTCATAAAACTCCAGAAACCACACAACAAGTGCAAGTGGGCAACTGCGCTGAAGTCACCACCCTATTGTGAAAATGTTATTGCGGTGTAAAAATAAGGTCTTTCGGAACACCCCTTTGAAAGATATCGGAGTAAACAAGATCGCGATATGCAGCACCATCTGAAGTAATGTAAAAATAACAGGCTTCTCTAAACGATCCAATGTGGCGAGCTTCCCACGTTGCCACTCCCGCCAATTTCGAAGGCTTCCTGTCACGGTCTTGGTCAATCCGATATCTTCCTTTCTGCGAGCGCTTCTGCATCAATCGCAACGTGCAGTTTGCAGGACGACCAATGACAATAACGTTAGTTGCCTCAAATTTGCTCAAACCACTCAGGCCCAAGCTATCAAAACAGGTGCTCCTGGAAGCTGTGATGAACCTCAAGGAGACACTTGTGTGCCGCGGTAAATAAACTCCATGAGCGACCCAAGACCCTGTTCCTGAACTGAATGGGCACATTTGATTGCGTTCATTAATTGAACTGTGTATTTATAAAATGAATCGTCAACAGTCAGGACTCAAAAACACCAGTTATTTGTCAGATCCGAACTTTCCGACCTCCCGCAGTTCGCGTACACCTTGTACAGCCAGACTGATTTTAATTCTATGCAAATTGTAATGCTGGTGCCTCGCTTGATGGAAAATTCTCACGGAAGAGTAACCACACCAATACAAATATAAACCGGGCTACATAAAGCCATTATATTAGAAAAAATTTCATTCAGCACCTTGAAGCCTGTACGAGTTCTATTTTTTCCACCGCGTAGATCAGACCTATCAAGATACTTATCGCGTAAATTACGAAATTGAATCTACTTCGCAAATTAGAAAGAAATATAGTGGAAAAATAGAGTAAAAGAACTTAGTTGCAGCCCTAAAAACGAAACTGTAGTCCTTACTATAGGCTTCGTATGTAGCTGCTAAAATATTAAACGTTTACGGACCACTTGGCTCGACCGCTGAACTAAAGCCCCACCTCGCAGAAATGCAATCGACTGCGCTTCGCCAAGATGTGTACGACTTCTGAAGACATCAATTGATTGCATCTGTTCTAGGCTAAACCCCTCTGGCGGAGTGTTCGCATCATTCATCGCTGAATGCGTGACACTCGATGATGAAGCATGGAGCGAAACGAATGATCACCTGAAACAACGAGTGGAATTATGGATATGGAAAAGCGACAGGAGACATTTTCCAATAACGAAACAAAGTGAGAGTAATCGGACGGTGAACTGAGGAAAATCATCGAATAATGATTGGAAAAGAGGAAAGGACTGGAATGACTCACTGAAAGAAATCCTTCACGGAAAATTCTTGCATTCTCTCCCAACATGAATGTGTTTGTGATCACTATAGACAACACTCAAAGCTCCAGTGATTTTCGAAGAGAAACAATCTCACGAAAACCACACTATGGACAATTTCCTTGCGATCAATTCAGATGAAACTCTCCAAACAGCTTTATGGGACGTTTCGGGCCTGTCCCACTCAGCCTTCCTCAGGTCTACAAATACAATCAAGCTGATCGTACATCAAAATAACATTTACGAAGTAAAAAGTGCGTAATATTCGGGGTTTTATATGGGAGAAGGTGTAAGCTCTGTTTTCAAAAGGCTTGATAAAACCCCAGTAGCAACCCGAAGAATGCCTGAAACATATCGCCGTTAGTCTTCACAGGGCGCTGTGGTTTGAATTATTTTCCGCACGCGCTAGTTTGAATGGAACACAGCGCGCTCAGAAAATTAACACTGCAAAATTGTACTGCCAATGAATGGGCTTTAGTGGGAGAGAATTGCTAAGAATTACAAAAAGCTAATGTCTATTTAAAGCAAATAAGAGGCGTAAAAAGATCACAGGCAAAAACTGTCCGAAGACAAAGCCAAAATAGTAACGGTATGCATGCTCAAAATTTTCTGTTCAGGACTTAAGCAGTAACCCTACTAATCACTCGCAGCTATCGAGGAATTGCATATTATTAGCTTGAAGCTTCTGGTCGGGAATTTGTGGTTTTCGAAGAGTATTTGGGTTTTCGAAGAGTAGAGGCCGTAGCTGGTTGGGTGTTGTTTCGCATATATCACATTTTGTCGCCTGAAATACTGATTCGCTGTGAAATGTTTAACATTGAGAAGCCAATGATGACTTCTTCCTCAATGCATGTCGAGATAGACTGGGGAGATCACCTTGTTACAAGGACACAGAACCTGGTGTGGATGGCTAGCTCTGATGAAAAAGCACATTAGAACAGCAAATATTTTTCAAGGCGTATATAGTCAATATAAGCTATTTTCGCCTGTGGAATTGAATGTCATGACTGCAACGAGAAACCCTGCTGTGAGGAGAAGACGGAGTTGAAGGACCATCACACTTGCGAAGCAGTCACCTCATTAGGTGTTGTGGTTATGATTAGCATCAAGGAAATTTGGAACAAAGGCATATCCATTCGGTCCCTGAACTACTGCTAGCAGGGTCAACCGTACGTTCGAACAGTTCAAACGGGGGGGGGGGTCGCATTGTCGCATTGCGCGCCTTGGTGATTAGCGGCGCAGGGCATATGTGTGTGCGAAAAAAGTTGCCGTTTCACTGATTGTATATACCCCCCTTCCCCCCCCCCCGGTCGACGGCTGTTTTGGGTGGGGGAAAAATGGGTGGAGTTTCGGAGTTCTAGATAGGTTTTGGGCTGGCTGTGTCAACAGGTCTCAGAATCAAATACTATAAAAGAGGGAGAGGTCGCGGTGGAGGAAGGCTGGTTGTATTGGGGGGGGGGCGCAACTGGTCCCTCTCGAGAGGGGGGGTCGCGAAAATCCCGAAAATGTTCGAACATGACGGTTGACCCTGACTGCTAGTATGCCTTGCTACGTATGAGATTGAGAAGATTTACAAATACTAAGATAGTCATGGCAAAATGGAGCATTTCCGAAACAATTTCATCATCAGAAAGCCGTGTTAGCTTGATAACACCATGATCTGTAAGATAAGTGTAGGTTATCACATTGGTGTTGGACCCACTTGACTGTGAATTAGAATTTTTGCAAAAGTACTGTGGGCGCAATAACAAGATACGAGGCATTGCGCAAGACATGCATCTGAGGAGACGTATAACATCCCTTTCGTTTTAGGAACGGTCTTAGGCCTCGAAGTTCCTTACTCTCCTAGGCATGACCATGAAGGATGCCCCGCGTCTTGCGGTAGCGCAGTAATCAACTTGCTTGGTATACTTAGTCCCCTCGTTCATTTGAATAGCCACGAAACGCAGCTTCTTTCAAGTTCTTGGCCATTACATTCCATTATAGCTTATTCACTGGCGCTCGAAACGTCTGCGCGCGCTATGTTGCATTCAAACCAGCACGCGCGGGAAAATAATCCGAACCACAACGCCCTGTGAAGACTAACGGCGATCGCCTGAAACACCGTTCATTGCGCCACCCTCATAAACAACCACCTGAACCTAATGATAAGTCCGTGTGATCTGCAGGAACATTGACCTAGTAAATAGGAGATAAAGGAGGCGCTAGAAATATGATGAAGAAACCCGTAAATTGAGAAGAGCTTCGAACAGCCATGGAACCAATCGCGTCATAATGAGATGACAAAGTGAAAATACGTGACATGAGCAAAATCGCAAGGTATCTAGCTATAACTCTCACCCTTGCCACTCCTCGTCTGGCTGTCACATTTTTTTCCAGTGAACAGCTAAAGGTGAGCCACTCTCTCAAGGAACTTTTCCCCTCATCTCACCACATTTGCAGCATTACGTGAGGCTCTAGGATCGACCTGCTCACTAATCCAAATTTTCTCAGGTTGGTTAGTTGTCAAAGCCTTTTCTTTATTTGTCAATTTATTGTGATTGTTTCATCTAGATGGGTTGTTGATGTACGATCAGCATGATTGTATTTGTACATCTGAGGAAGGGTTTAAGTCTCGAAACGTCGTCCTATGAGCTGTTTGAAGAGACTCATGTGGATTGATCGCAAAGCCTATGTAAGGGAAATTAACCACTCTGAAAAATTGACTCTGGAAAAGAATCAGTTCTGTTGGAGTACAGAACTCGAACAAAAAACTCACCATCTTTTCACTTTCACTAGTTCACGATCACCCACAAAATCGATAAAGGTAGTTGTAACCACATGAGGTTTAAAAATTTAAGTTTCCAGAAATTAGCGCGAAAAATTCAGGGAGAGAAAAAAAGATCAATGGGATAATTTTTTGGTCCCATCAGTTTTGAAGTGAATTGAATATTCTTTGGGGAGCTCCCATTTTCTAATTTCGCAGGGAGCATGGAAATGCAGAAGAAGTGGAATCTGAAGGAAAGCACTAGTAGATCGAAACTATAATAAAAAAAAACCTCGCGTTGCCAAAACGACATCCAAATCCCCCAAAGAACAATGGGCGATTGACTCCACCAATTCTCAAATGAGGTCAAGTGTTTGTGTATTTGCTCTAACCTACAGGGGGAAGGCACTCTCCCTCCGCTACAAAACGGAATCAATTACACTACGCTAAAATCAAACCGACTGGAAACCCCCAACTGAAAATTTAGAAGAACATTCCAATCTGTCAAAAGGACCATAACGGCCTTCACACCAAACACCAGAAAAATTTTCCACGTGAACATATGTTTACATACGATACGGTATAACATACGATTGGAGCTCCGGGTCCTCGACGGATAATGGACCATGAAGGAGATTAGAAAATTGTTGGGAGGTTTTGCATGTAAGAGCGATGGTCTTTAACACATTGATGACAATGAGACGCGGTAACGCGCCTCATTTTGCGCACCTTGTTGGACATTGAGACGCGGTTGCGCGTCTTACACTTGTCGTCACTTGAGAGTGGCGCCGTCGCGCGCGATCACTTGCGCGGCGTCGTAGCGCGGCAGTTTTTCGATGGGCGCGCCCTTGTTCGAACTTGGCGATTGAAGCAATGGTTCTTCATGGTCTATTTCATTCATATGATTCCCAAAATTATTCTCGACCTTTTTGTAATTAAGGTCTGGTTCACATTCATTTATTTGTTTACTGCTTGCACTCCAAGCGTACGCCTAAGACAATCGGCATGCGCATAATACAAAGTTGACTGCTGGGAAACTTCAACATTATATCACTCATTAAAACATCAAACAGATGAACACATCATTCACATTAAGGTCGCCTCCTTTTACTTAGGTGCGAACCGAATTTGGCTCCCCACCTTCTTCACGATTTGGGGCGCGGCCGCGGCAAACCCGCGGCGTGCGCGGCCGTGCAGCATCAGCTTGTCCGGGTATTCGACGTTACATTACGTGTTAGTTCATCCGATTGTAGCAACACGTAATGTAACGTCGAATACCCGGGGCGGTATTCAATCCTTCCCCAGGGGTTTGGGGACGGAAGTCCCTTTGAAATTATTTGTTTTTAACGATGTAATTTCTTCATTTTCCATACATGCTTACTGTGACATACATATATACATTAAAACTAGGCCCTTTATCAGGACAATTCGAGTTGGGAAGACAGAGAAAATTTGAAGGGATTTTCGTCCCCCAACCCCTGGGGGAAGGATTGAATACCGCCCACGGACAATCTGATGCCGCACTACTCGGCCGCGAACGCCGCGGCGGCCGCGCCCCAAATCGTGAAGAAAGTGGGGGAGCCACCAAATTTACTTCGGTATTCAAATGAAGAGATCGTAATGCTACGCATAAATCTGTGCTCATCGTTACATGGTAGAGTCACTGTGTTATATTGTTATTTGATTAATTATCAGTTGCCGTGCTTTGCGGTATTAAGTACACTATTCAAATCGGATTTCATGATAACATTATTTGAAAAATGCTCTAAAAAATGGAAAGGGTATATCACACTTGGAGAATGTGCATTTTTGAATGACGCCAAAATCTCCGAGTATGACAGTTGTCAACTCTGAGAAAAACATACAAACGTTATTGTCAACCTCTACACACACGTCTGGTTTTCGTAAAAAGAGTTTTCGATCTCCCTAATTGATGACTGTATAAAAGAGCAGTCTGCACATGTATTGAAACATACACCCTCCATCTTACTAGGGAAGGATGAAGGGTCGAAGTGGCCATATGAAATGAGACAAGTATCATGGTATGTGACGCTTCGATCGCGGATTCTTTCTTCCAATACTCTGCCCAAACGACTCGCTGAACGGATTTTTTTGTTCCCTCACACACTTTAACATAGTGAGAAATGAGGCCCAGCAGCAACGGCTAGTGAAGGAAGCAGTGAGCCTTTTTCGTCGAGTGCTGGTGGCCTAGTGGTTAAGGTGTGGGCTTGGGACTTCGGGGTCAATGGTTCGGATCCGGTCCATGTTTTCCACTTTGCATTTTTGTGACTGACTGTTTGGCAGTAGTGGAACATGATTCCTTCAACATTGGTCAGCCCTACTTGCTTATGGATGAGTTTAAGGTCGATAACTTCGAAATTTTTCCTAACTTGCACGCCACTAGATAGGGTAAAGGCACGCCAGTGTAAGGAACGCGCGCTTCAGCCGTTTTTGAGTGAACGAAGACCAGAGATCTGTGCTGTTGTTGAGATCTGGGTTCAAGTAGTCCAATAACTCCAATTTCTAGGAAAATTCGAGGTTTTGTATTAACTTCAAAAAAAGTGGGCGAGTCTCTCATTGGTGCTACATATCCATAAGCGGTAGTTCCAGGGTTGACCTATTTTGGATGACGGCGACCCTTTAAATTTAAAAAGTTTTAAATGTGAGAGATGAAATCATGCTACCAGAAAACCAGACACTGCTTTACACTCTTTAGAAGCCAAAAAAAACGTATATCGTCTCAAGGCCATATAGGCATCGATAATAGGCTGATGGATGAATGGATAGATACCCACAAAGCTTATTTCGAAATTCGATCGAAATTTCAAATTTGGCTACAAACTTGTCCCTAGGGGTATTTGAATCTCCGGAACACGAAGATCACACTTGTTTGCTGCAAAAACGTCTGCCAAGAGTTCTGTGGGCTCCATGTGCAGTCTAAAGTGAGTATCGCAGAAACTGATTAGAAACCCTTCGCAAGTCTTTCCACGGGTAACTACAGGCAAGCATTGATCGAGTAAGGTAGCTGGGAGTCTTTCCATCATTTTGCAGCGAAGGCAAAAATGAGAACCCGCTAGGGAATCGATCCTACGACGTCTCGCACGTGAACCCGGACTACTAACGCCGCACTACTTTCCTTCATAACTCCATTCGGAAACCGTTTGGCAGATTTGGAAAGCAGATTCGAGATCAGCGTCCAAAAACGTATCCTTTGGTATAGGTCTCTTTACATATGACCACTTCGACCAATCATCCATTCCTGGTTAGCACTATTCCACCCGTACTCTTGCCTTGCTTGCCGTTTCCACGAGGGTGGTCGGTATACCCGTGTTTCAAAGTTGCGGCAAGTACCTATGACCCCGCATGTGGCGAGCGGGCATCATTGCCGACTGATGCAGGCTCGTGCTATAGGTAGCTTCTGGGTATAGACGTGCGTGGCGATTGCGGCATGACTCGCGTCGTGTGCTCTCGAGTTCAACAGAAAGTACCCCGCCATTCGACTACAGAGTAGCGAAAGTTTCCCACCCATCTTCTTCTCATTACATCATTCAGAAGCATTCACCAATCCACTTGACAGGCAAATTGCGTTCTTAGTGGCATTCCATTTCACGCTATCTCATCCTTCCTCTTCCGCAAAACATTATCATTTCTGGTCGTCGTTTAGTCATTATTAGTTCTCTTTTTCTCACGTGCCCTTTTTTGTTTTTGTTGTTATTTTACAATTTGTTGAAATTATCTTACTCGGCCATACTTGCTCCTAATTAGTATGTCATGGTCTAGCGCGTTCACTAACGCATGATAAATAAATGAAAATAAATAAATTCAGACGCAAACGAGTCCGCTTAGCGTCCCTTTAACATTCACAATCGAATGACGCCTAAACTCGTCCACCGCCATCGCCCCGTCGCGGCCACAACTTCTAGCGCAGGTCTCCGCACGATTCTGTTGCTACACGGCCGTCACGATATGTTCCAGCATGCTCCAAACTAGCAGAAGTTCCTTTAAGCTCAGCGGAATTGGCAGCTCGGTTCCTTCCTCGTTTTCTTCCTATTCTCACGAACATCTCAGGGAGAAAGGGTAGTGAAAGTAGATACAAACTCAAAGGGATAGAAAAAAATATGTTTCACTTGGCACATCCACAGCGGAATAACCTTGGCATCCACTACAGAGAAGAGGGCTAAAGGTTTTTCAGGAGGGGGCTTTTCATTACCATTACACATTCTTTTGATCGGAATTTTCCCCCTACATCCTCGACTGTCTTCTACGCATCAACTATTGCTGAAATGGTTTTGTACCAGTGATACTTTCCAGAGTTACCATTCCATATTTACGATTGCTACGTGTGGCGGCCGCGCTCGCAATCGTCCCTGTCCCACGTGGCGAAAAAAGCCAAAACGCGCGCTGTCGTCAATGTGTTAAAAAGCTATCTACAAGTATCCCGGCCAAAAAAACCATGTAGGCTTCAGACGAGTGATTACGATGGGCCACCTTGCGCTCTTTGGCGATGTCAGATGACATCATATTCCGAAGACGGTAAGGGCAGTAAAGGAGGGCTTGCTCCCACAGTGACGGGACATAGGGAATGTTCTGCCGTAAAACTTTCATCAATGGCTGCAACCTGTGCGAGAAAAAGTTTGCTGCTGTGAGATATGGCCAAAGAGACTTCTTTTGTCCACCCTCCCCACACTATAGTTTTTTCAAGGGAAAATCATTGGAAAAAGTTGAATCTGACGAAAGTTATAGCAGTTGAAAGCAAAAAGCGTGTACACAAAAATGGGACAACGAAACGGTTTTTTGAAGAAATCAGAAGCTTGAGTACATTCTAGAAAGAAAACAATCTGGTTTTTTTCCAAACATTTCTCACAACTTCACATTCGGAAAAGCGTTCTAGCAATGTGCCTCGGGGGGGGGGGGGAGGAGGCAGTCAGCGCAGCGGCTTGACGATGTAGCTGAACTCGAAGATTCCAGCTTCTCACGGAACATTCCAACTTCTCACACTCATTTTCTATTAGGAAAAGAAGAAAATTTCCGAATCCTTCTCGAAGCGAATAAACTTCGTATGAAATCTCCCAATTTTCATTCCGCTAATTATGTCTTAGTGTCGTTGAAATCGATCAAGCAACCCCACCAGAAGAAAGAGCTTTTCGACAAAGCATTACAAGTAGAAACTACCAAACTAAACAAGACATACAAGATTTTTGATTTTAATCAGCACTTACAGCGAGACATACAAAAAATAAAAATTAAAAGAGCGTAAAATAAAAATGGCAGTAATTCGTGAACGACACATCTAGACGACAGTGTAATCGTCCGCTGCTGCTATCTGGGCTAACTGTCAAAAAAATAAACAATCAATAAGAAAGAGAAGGTAAAATCTGAGCGTTATGAGCGCCGAATCACAAACCGCTCGCTGCTGTTACATAGCCGAAGACAATACATCGATAACGGCGCCATTTCTGAACAAACAATGACTTGATTTTGGATTCAAGCGGCCATAGGTTGGTTGAACAGGTTTTGAAGCAACAACCCCAGTTCAAGTTGGTGAGGTGAAGCTGGTGTCAGAGTCCGCGAACTGTCGCAGGTCTGGCTGATTTTCGCGATTTGCGCGATTCAGACGTCGGGTCATGGAAATCACAAGTGCCCGATCATTACTGCAAGGTGTTCTTCAATCTCGCCACCACTTCTGCTTGATAGTGAGGGCTGAATGACGACTGCTCATGATTGCGCTTGTTTCATACTCACTGTTTCAAATGTTCGAATGGGACATTTAGTCTTATTCATTTATTTGTGCATAAAAACACGCCATAACACGCCACACCTTTTTGATATTCATTTTTTCAAAAATACCCGCCTTGCCTATGACGCACAATCATAGTTCCACCTCATGTTTCTCCGCTGAATTTTGCTTTAACCCCATCAAATTTTGAAATCATTACACTTTCAAGTTCCTTAGCTTACAGCAAAGGCAAAACCGCTGTCAGGCTTCCGTAAAAAGAAAATATTAGCAAAAGAGGCGCAGGAATTGTCGAAGTGTCAGCTCACGCTGGAATTTGTCGGAGTAACTTCATAACGAACAAATTTCTCAGTGATGCTAGGATGTGATACCGGCAGGAACCCTGATTACTATCCGACCGAGATAAGCGCCGTTTCGTGAAAAATAATACAACTTTATCCAGCCGGATACGGAAATCAAAACTTCTTTAACAGTTAATTTTCAGAGGAGGCGTTTTAACGTGTTTTGACACGCAACACCTCGTGACAGTCCATGTCTGGAAACTAAAAAATGCACTTCTTTGTCAAAAGGAGTCATAGAGAAAAACGAGCCATTTTTCTTAGAAAGTTTCGCCAAGTCGATTGAAGCGGTGCCATTCTTTCATTTGTGATTTTTGATTTGCATCTTTTTTCTCTTTATGTTTTTCTTTCTCAGATCGCTTTTTTACTTCGTAGCAGACGTGTATGAAAAGGAAAAATATGAGGAGTATGGTCAGAGGTTCCAAAATATCACAGATAAAAAAGTGCCCTCACATTGCTCCACTTTGCAAAACTGTTTGATGGAAATGGCTTGTTTTTCTCTCTGATTTCTTTCCACAAAAAGCGTATTTCTTGCCTTCCAGACGTGGACTGTCACGAGCGGGTTGTAAAACACATAAAACTGCGTCTATTGAGACATTACCTTTTGAGGAAGCTTCAATTTCCGGACCCGGCAAGATAAAGTAGAGTAGTTCTAGACTTTCATACTGTATATTGTCTTCAAGAGAATTTCGATTTGGAAGGAGAACTTGGGTTTCAAAAAGTTTAAATGTCAAGAGAATTTTCGATACACTGGAAACCCCTTCCCGTATCTGATGGCTATGAGAAAACGAAGAAGTCCTGAATAGTGATTAACCTTCAGCCCAATAGTGCAAAATCCCAATTAATATGAATTCCATGAAAATTAGCTCTTAATAAACATTTCTGTAAGCCGTGCTAATTAGAGATATCATGAAACTTGTTCATGGTTATTGAGGTGTTACATTGAGGTTTTTAAATGCGCAGAATGAAACTTCAAGGTGGCACCCACCGTTGGGTGCCATTGTCCCACGTGGCAAATAGTGCCACCCACCGGTGGGTGCCATTGTCGTCAAAGGGTTGAGAGATATAATAATCCGCAGTTCCTCCTGCATTAAGTGCAATATCAAATAGCCTAATAGCAAATAGCCATAAGCTGTTCAGATCATCTGGGATTTGAAAGTAATGCCGCTTCTGATTGAGTGACAGATATAGGTTAACCTGTGCTGTTTTGTGAGAATATGTTAGGCAGCCGACTTCGCCGGCTCAAGAGAGATCAGATGTCTTTGCAAGGTTCTATGCTAATCCCTGGAGTCTATTACGCAGGTCATGGAGACGAAATTTCGGCCCGACATCATTACAAAAAGCACCCACTTCTTTCACATCTTCTTCACCAAATTGCAAGCGCAGGAATGAATCGCCACCTTCGCTAGCCACGGCAAAATGTTCATATCCACAAGGCTTATTTGTACGAAGCACTTTGATCTTACTGAAATTATTTAGCTGTTTGGTGCGATTTGCGGTGGGCAGTGGCGCAGTCCCAACTTTATTCAATCTCTCTCTCTAAATTCCACTTCACGGGATGAAGTTGTGCCTCCCCGTGATGACCAGTGAGTTCGTACCATCCTTGTCACTTTACTGGCAATGTTGCTCCTTATTTACACCGCTCTCCATTTCACTAGATAGGAACATTAAATTACGGCGTCTCTGACTTCATAGGAACTACTATTTGGGACAGCCCTCATAACTCTTCTCTAAACATTTATAGATAGTTTTTGTGGATGTTCGGAAGTTGTCGAAAATCCGGAGGCACAGAAGCAAGAGCAAGGATTTTCCGGAATGCTTCGCAAAGCCTCACGAAACGTGTCAAGCATACGGAACGCACAGACCTGGCCTCCTTCAGGAGACGAATAAGAAATGTAGAAATTTAGCTAGCGCATGTCTTCTTGACAAATAGTTACTTTTACAGTAAGGACTGTTGTTTCTGCACTGTCACAGGAGGACTTTATAATTATTAAACGTACTGTAGCGAAAGCGAGAGACTTCTTGATAACATGGGCATCAGGAGAAAGGGACTTCAAAACTTCAAGAAAATTTCCAAACAGAAATACAAGAAGATGTGAAGTCATCAAAAGTGAAAGAAACTTTGTCGTAATGACCGCAGCTAAAAATACAGAGATCATGTCTGACAACAAAAAGAAGACTTAAGGACTTATTATATCTTGGGCTCAATGCGACTCGAGGTATAACATGTTGGCGCCCTCCGAAACAGTGTAAATTCTAACATTCAAGCTCTTCACGCATGTCAAGCGATTGGCCGATGTCAGACTTTGCGATTGGAGCGATTGTGCACAAATTGCAGGAGCGATGGATCGCTCAAGCGATCCGTCGCTGCGAGCGACCGGAGATTTACACGGCCGACCAATGATAATTCGGCGTCATCAGAACTCGGCCAGACTCGGCGATTGCGTCGCTGGACACCAGCGACGGAGCCGTCAGCCACAAGAGTGGGCAACGGGCGATGACTCATCACACAATCGATATCGGTTGGCAGGGGGAGATTAATCATCTTCACCCAAAATCAATTTTCAGCAGAAAAGACTGCGAGGGATGCACTTGAATGCAAGGAAGGTGATCCTGTAATAAGTCAAGTCACTCCTTTGGTTCTGTGATCCTATTTTCGTTTTTTAACAGTTTTAAACCATGGTCGTTTACGTATAGATCGCCATATTTATGGGCGCTCATCCGGTAAGGGGGGGGGGCATTGTGATGCAATGTCAAATGGCTGCCCTCACCCCCCACCCTTTGGACCGCCTTCACTCCCCCTGGCTCACGGGGTCCTGTACTTCGAGAAACCTGTGCGCAAGGGGGAGTGTAGGCAGTCTAGTGGGGGTGGGGGGTGAGGGCAGCCACTTTATGCCCCCCTTACTGGATGAGCGCCTATTTATGTAATTTAAACAATATGGCACGAAGGGATAAGAGATGCGAACTAAATAGCAATCCAAAATAATAAATGGGTAAAGGACATGATTACGACTAATGAGCTAGAGGTAATCTCGCCTTCAGAAGATCAGATGTTGTGCAATTGCAGAAATTGACGTGGCATTGACGTAGCATCTATTCAAGAACATCTTCAAGCATGCGTGATGTCATCTTTTCATCGAGAATTTAGCCACGTGTGCCAAGGGGATTTCTGGCTGCACGAAACAGAGGTTATATAATCGAATCTAGTATACAAAGCAACAAAAGATTGAAGTGATGTGATTACAACAACACAGCGATATTTGTGTGGACGAATCTACAATCTAAAACGATGAAAAGGTGAGAACAAACGCAAAATCAAAGGATCGGCCGCTGGCCGGTCGGTCCCGCAACGAAACCCCGCTGGGTTCCCCAACATGCAGCACTGGCCAGGGTCAACCCTACGTTGTTACGAGTAACAACGGGGGGGTCGTACTTCAGTTGAGCTTGGAGAGGGGGGGGTCGTACGCTCTCGGTGGCCGACAGTGGGATTCTTGGTAATATCGTATAATAGCCAGCACGTTACGTCTTCGTAAGATGACTGGTACTAGAGCATTTATAAACAACGCTTCCCTCTAAATGAGCTTTCGAATGAATCAGCGAATTAGAAAGGCGCCGGAGGCGTGGCGCGCACCAAGGCAATGGATGTAGTGCAAGCGCATGCTCGAAGCTTTCTAGCACATCCTCAGTTAAACATGAGATTGGTCTTCCAAGAAGTTACGGGCAGTGAAACCTAAAAAAAAACTTGCGTTTTCGAGAAAATGGCTTGAAGAATACCCCTCAAAATAAAAAGTAACAACGGGCTAATTTTTGAACTGCCGATCTTTCAGGAACGTTTGGGTACTCGTTGGAAAGCATGAAACCTGTAGTTTATTATACCGTGTTCAGCTTCCCAAATGAATGATCCTGTAGGAAGTTATGATCGTTTGAAGGTAAAAAAGTCGTGGTTCCAAAAAAATAGTAACGCAAACCCCCAAAAAAGTAACAAGACTAATTTTTGAACTGCTGATCTTTCAGGAACGTTTGGGTGCTCGTTAGGAAGCTTGAATCCTGTAGTTTATTATACCGTGTTCAGCTTTCTTAATGAATGACATTTAAGGAAGTTATGATCGTGTGAAGGTCAAAAAGTCGCCTTTGCACAGAAAAAAAGTAACAACGTACAAAATTTTTACTAAATTAACTTTCGAAGATTTTTCACCCATGGTTGAATAGAAAATAATTTGATTTTTCCAATTCAAATCACTTCGGCGCTGAAGCTCGAATATGAAGGAAGTTATAGCCCTAGAAAGAGGACTGTAAAAATTCTCTTGCAATCTTATTTTTTGTCTAATAACTTATTCATTCCGAAGTGTTCGAGAACAAATGAGCACTCTTTAGTAAGGAGG